ATTAGGTATATATTTTGATAGTCATGTTTACTGTAAGGCATGTAAGGACATAATCTACGGTTGTTGAATCAACAACAAACTTTTAAGTTATGACTATTAGGTGTATGTAATAATCTATATTATTTTTGTGTTTTGACTATAATGTTGAATGTAATGTTGACTTATCAGTAGACATGTGCAAACATGTGTGGTTGGTAATCTATACATCTTGGCCAATTTGTGGAGCTTTGACTTTTTTTGTAGTTTAGACTTTTTTACAACATCCATTTACACAAACAAAGATAGGACAATATTATTAATATAAACTTAAAAGAGTACAATTTATGGACACCTTACACATACAATAACAAGAAAAAACATTTGAAAGCCTTACTCTTTTTTGGCAACCAACTGGATGAAGTCCTCCAATTTCTTTTCCCACTATATCATACATTCCTTCAATTCCCGCATTTCACCCCATATATCATTTTCCTTCAAAAACTTGAATTCCTCATTTTCCCCTGTACAAACATCACTACTACCCACTCTCTATTTACCTCGACATCTTAGCTCTTTCTTTTGCTCTAACTTACTCTTCAAAGCTTCTATTTCATCCTTCAACTCTAAGATAACGTCCATGGCTTTACTAGACATGCAATCATCATGCCACTTTATAAAATTGTAGGACTTCTACATATCACCTTTAGAATGCTATTCCGAAGCCATAAATGGATAACATAAGCAACTGTTTTCAAAGGAAATGAAAAAACAAAAATCTAGTCTCACTTTGTTGCCATAGTTAAGGCATCTATTAAGCCTTCTTCCTAGGTTAGTCTTTGTCCATGAAGTGCACCTAAGGGACTTCAACCCACATTTGCAATGTCGTTGACGACCCTTATACACGTATTGAACATTGCCACGATCTAAGAACAACTTGGATTGAGTAGAAACAAATCGTGAATGAAAAGAACAAAACTGATATTTTGAAGTTGAAAATGGATTTAAAGGAGGAAACCCTAGATCCACAATTTAAAGCCAACGAATTCAATACTATAAAATAAATAGTCCAAGTTAGCAAATAAAGGACCATGTCAACAAAAATAGTCCACATCATAGTTAAATTATACAATATCACTAAATTGGATCCTACACAACCAAGACAGCAGTGTTTTAATGCTAAAGAGTTGAGTTTCACAATAAACTAACATATCATGACATCATACATTAAATTTTGGTTGATTTATTTTAATCAAAAAGTTTGTAAGTTGATTTATTTTAACATAAATGTAAATAGGTCGAAATATTTCAAAATAAAGTAGGAGGGTTGATTTCAAGTATATTGAAAAGCACTTGAGTTTATATATATATTATGCCATATGTCTAAGTGTTCCTTTTGCATATTATTTTTCAAGTACCTTATGTCTCTACCCTATTCACCTATTTATTTTGTTGCACTTTTTAAAAATGGATTAAAGCCAATGAACAACACTCTACTTTTTTATTTTGTTCATTCTTGTCCTTATGCTAAGAAATTGTTCAATGTCATCATTCTACTTAAGAAAAAATATTCAATGTCATCCTTATGCTAATGCCGTTAATATCAAACCACTAACATTGTCCATTTTGATCATTACTTTGACCAATCAATAGCTTAAGGCATTGTTTTATTTTCCTTTCCTTTTTTACTCTCTTTATCGTAGAATAATAATCTTTTTAACTTTTTTTTTTGATATTTTAATGTAGACAAATTAAATTTTTTTCCTACTAATTCTATCATTATTCATTAACTTTAATTATCATTTAATTACAAAAATCTGTTTTTATCTTTTAGTTATTTCTTAAGTGTATTATTGGTATAAACATAAATTATCCCCAAATTCTTAATCTAAGAAAAAGTCAATAAAAATACTATTATTTTAGAGAAGGGAGTACTCTTTAAGATTTAATTCCATCCATTTCACAATATCTATCTATTTTAATTACATATTTATTTCAAATTAATTTTCTCATTTTCAATTTTCTTTACTATTCTAATCTTAAAATTAAAGCTCTTAATAGCCACTATATTTCACCTTAACAATAACTAAAGGTAGATTTAGAAAAGAAATAAGTTAATCATAACAATAATTATAAACTTTTATTTATGTGCATAGTCAAAATGAGACAAATATTATGAGATGAATGAAGTTTCAGATAATGAGTCAAAAAGTATCATTAGGAAGTCATAGACCAATGGTGTAAACTTGGAATGATCCTATTCTGAAGTTCAAAATTTTTAAAATTACATTGAATTGCTATATTGTGGATTTAAATTAAAGTGAAATTTATGAAAATTGTGTACAAAAAGTCAATAAATAATTAATTTGGGACTAAATATTAAATAAGCTCATTATTCAATTATTATAAAAAAAAATCAGGGTTAAGGAAAAGGATGTGCTGAGGTGGAACCGTTGTGGGACTCATAATTAAGGTTTGAAAAAAATAATAAATAATGCTTCAAAATATTGACAGGACCGTCAAAATAGATGGTGTTAGTGGCTTGTCACAAACGGCACTAGCATAAGGATGATATTAAAAAATTTTTAAAAGTTGAGGGACGACATTGAACCAAATTTGAAGTAGAAGAATGGCACTGAACAATTACTTAATACAAGGACAAAATCAAACAAAAATAGAAAAGTAGAAAGACATTCTTCAAATTTTTTTTTTTTTTATGTATCTTGGTTGTACAATGAAAATTAACTCTTTCTTATCTCTTACCACATTCCATTTGCATATCTTACGACTTGAATTTAGAATTTCTTTCTTCCAATAAAAATGAATTACCATTGAATTACTTAAATCATTAGTGACATATATTCTTCAACTTTAACCCTTTTTAAAATAGGTAGTCTAAACATTTATTTTTTTTCAATATTTTCTCTATTAAAATTTCCTAATTAAAATTTCAAAGGAGATTTAATAATAGCTAATGACTTGAATAGTTAAATAGTGATTTTCTTTCAAAAAAAATTAAAAAAAGATCATGAATTTGAGTTGCAATAGAAGCTACTTCACCTATATCAAAATAATTATTTTTTTTTTATTTTCTTCTTCAACTTAAGAATTTGGGGACAATTCAAATATTTATTTGTAGTACTCTTAAGAAAAAATTAAAAGATAAAATAAGATTTTTTGTGATAGGATAATTAATCAAAATAAATAGATAATAATAAGATTAAAGTAGGAAATAAATATTTTTCTACTCTAAAAATTAAAAAAATAATAATAATTAATTTGAAACAAATAAAATTGAATAACAACAATTATTTAAGAACATTCATCAATTCATTTTCAATTCAATCTACTAGCATTAAGTTATACTTTTGTTTTTTATTTTTAAACTTTAGACTTTTATGCCATAACATAGAGATATAATGTAATCTCTCTATTTATTAATATATTTTCTATTTTTATCAGGTAAAAAATATATACATCTCGGCCCTTTTCGACAACTAAAGGCTCATTTTCCTCCCTCTTAGGCCCATTACCAGTTTACCCCTAGGAAGTGCAATCAAGGCTACGTACCTGAATAAGAAGAGGCAAAACCCCACCGGCCCACCCCCTAACCAAGGGCTGGGCTAAATTAATGACAGTGTTATATATTTGGGCTGTTGCTTGGGCCCTTTTCTATGGGCCTTTAGCCTTTGTGGTTTTTTTTTTTATTTCTTACTTTACATTTGTATGTGTAAAGCTCATTTTTATCAGGGGAGAAAAGAAGGGACGAGGAACTAATGACGCTGACGGCGAAAATAGAGTTCAGAACGAACAGCAACGAGGGAACATCAAACATATCAGTTCAGTCAATTCTCGTAGATTAATATTTTATTTAAATATCTTACTAAAAAATATATTTTATTTAAATATCAGTTAAATAAAAAAAATATAAATGTACAAAGAGAAAAAAAAATACAAATATTGCAAGTGGAGTGTATATATAATGAGATTCATGTTTTT